TACTGCTACTACTACTACTCCTATCAGTTCTACTATTATCATTACTAGTACGACCACTACTACTTGTACTACTACTACTACTACTACTACTACTACTACTACTACTACTACTACTACTACTACTACTACTACTACTACTACTACTACTACTGCTACTACTACTACTACTACTACTACTACTACTACTACTACTACTACTACTACTACTACTACTACTACTACTACTACTACTACTACTACTACTACTACTACTACTACTACTACTACTACTACTACTACTACTACTACTACTACTACTACGACGACGACGACGACGACGACGACGACGACTACTACTACGACTACTACAACTGCTCTGGCTACGATTCTTAACATTTTTATTGCCGTGTTTACGGCTACGACTTAATGTAATGAATGCTCACCGCGTGGATCCCCACATATGTGCATATCATACTTCTGTCGTTATTCGCTGAAGAACTCTGTCTGTGAGCATCTGGGTGTGAAAGCGAGTCGGCGTGGACGACGGGCGCGACAACGACGACAGCGACAGTCACGAGTTTAGCGGCTTCAGTGGGCATCTTCCCGGAGATATGAGGGAAGCACAAGTGGAAGAGCGAAGGGGCATTGGACCACCAAAGAGGAGAAAATTGCGAGAATCTGAGCGCGAGGGATCTGAGCGTAAGCGAGTCTGAATGTGAATGAACCTGGGTATGGTTGAGTGTGGGTGTCAATGAGTCTGGGCATGAGAGAGTCTGAGTACTTGTGTGTCTGAGAATGCGTAAGTCTGAGTATGAGTGAGCCTGAATGAGATTTCTGAATGTGGGTAAGTCTAGGTGTGAAAGAATATGAGTATGAGCATGACGAGTACGAGTATGAGGTTGAACGTGTTTGAGTACGAGCGATTTTGGCTACGAGCGAATGCGAATTTGAGGGTGGGTGGGTCTGGATGTGAGTGGTTATGAGCGTGAGTACGTATGAGTTCGAGTGCGTCTGAGTATAAGTAAAATGAACACGAAAATGAATTTGAATGGGCTTGATTACGAGTGAATATGAATACGAGTGAGTGTGAGGGTAGGTAAGTCTGAGTGCGGTTGAATCTGAGTGTGCGTAAGTCTGGGTGTGACTGAGACTGAAGATGAATATGACGAGTACGAGTCTGAGTACGAGTGAGGCAGAGCACGAGTGTGTTTGAGCAGAATTGAATCTGGGATCCTCGCAATCTGGGCCACCTGGGGTACGAAAGCCAGCGCTTCGCCCGAGACATCTTCCGAATCTGCTCCGAATGTGGAGGATGTTGGGGCAGCAAAAAGGCAAACCGCTCGCAGCATCCGCGCCATTTAGGCGCGAAAGGAGGAGTGTAACAACTCCCCGGCGGCCCCCCTCGGAGGCGCTGTCTCTTCAAAACGAGAACCCAACACCACAGGATGGTTGGGAAAGAACATGCGACCAGCCCCGGAAGCGACCACGAATTCAGAGAGGCGGGGGTCTTTAGGTGGAACTCCCCATGGGACCACGCAACGTGTGAGGGGTATGCCAAAGTTGGTGGCGGGAACGCACGCGAACGGCTCCTCCGGGGGCCTTGGGTGGAATGTTCCATGGGGGCCACGAAACGTGTGAGGGATGTGCTGACATGGGTGGCGGGGGCGCATGCCAACGGCACTATTGGGCCTTAGGTGGGCCCCCCATGGGGCCACGAAACGTGTGAGAGGTATGCCAGAATTGGTGGTGGGGACGCATGTGAACGGCGCCATTGAGGCCTTGGGTGAATCTCCCCATCAGGGGGGGGGGGGGGCACGAAACGTGCGAGGGGTATGCCAACATGGGCGGCGGGGACGCATGCGAATAGCACCACCGGGGCCGTAGGTGGAGGTCCCCATGGGGCCACTAAACATATGACGGGTGCGTCGACATAGGTGGCGGAGACGAATGCGAACGGCATCATCGGAGCCCTCGGTGGAGCTCCCCATAGGGCCCCGAAACGTGTGAGGAGTTTGCCGACATGGGTAGCGGAGACGCATGCCAACGGCATAATTGGGACCGTAGGTTGAGCTCCCTATGGGTGCCACGAGACGTGTGAAGGTATGCCGGGGATGCATGCGAACGGCCCCATGGGGCCTTTAGGTGGAAGGTGTGCCGACATGGTAGATTGATGCAGAGGGCAGTCGTAAGGAGGGGGAGGAGGGGAGGAGGGCAGCGGGAGGAGGAGGAGGAGGAAGACAACGCAGCGCGCTGTTTCTTCAAAACGAAGACCCAATACCACAGGATGGTTGGGAAAAACATGCGACCAGCCCAGGAAACGACCAGGCATTCCGAGAGTCCGGGCTTTGCGACCGTCCATAGAGAGCACTTACAGTCCACAAGACAAAGAACTCGAAGAGACCCGTGGACAATCAATCCATTCAGTGCCCACGTCACGGTGGCGGATATGTTGATGTCGATGTTGTAGCAGCGGAGGGTCCAGACGCCTGCGTCGGCGGGGTAGGATTCGGAGGCCGCTTAGGAGGGCTGGACGGGCGCAGCCTGCACCTTCCGAGGGTGAACATTGGATGGGGGGCCAGGACTGAGCACAACGGCGGCACATGCATCGAAGGACGAGATTTCCCCAGATGGCCAGACCCGGTCCCATTCCGTCGTGGCGAGGCAAAGTCCCATCCACGAACCATCCAACGACGGTGGCCTTGTGGGGGGCATTGTGCAGTACGTACGGGGCCTTGCGCGTCGCCTGATACGTGCGCGCCCTTCCGTCGAATATAAAAGCACATGATATCGAAGACGGATACGGCGAGCCACCGCCGCCCCCTGTCTTTAGAAACGCCAATGTGGCCAAACGTTGGACCAAAGTCTGGCCGAGATATTTGATTATGTGCTTCCTCAGCTGCTGAGAAAACCCTTGGAGAAACACTTAGGGGGAAGAGGGAGAGGAGAAGAATTGGATGGAGAATGAGGAGGAGGAGGAGGAGGCCTCTTGGGGGCCTACGAGGGGCCTCTTAGGAGCCTCTGAGGGGCCTCTTGGCCTTCAGAGGCTGTCGTGGGGGTCTCTCTGGGCTGCCTTGGGCCCCTCATGGGACGCTTTACATTGCCATGACGAAAATGTATGCAGTTTGGTATGATGTTGGAATGATGCTGGAATCTCCGATCCGTCTGAAGAGTCCTAACACTGGCATGTGGAGCCTGCGATCCAGTGGAATACTTCGGGGCCCCTTCAATTCATAATTGTTTGCCTCAAGACGGGATCGCAAATTACTCCGCCAAATCTAGAATGAAAAACTATGGCGGGATGCAGGTCCGCGCGGAGAAATTTCTACTCCGCACACTCCGCCTACTCCGCCAGTCGTCTGTCATCCTGTATGCAGACAACTTAATTCTTCTGTCACGGCGACGCAGGGCCGTCTTAGAGGTGTAAGTGGCCGTCGTGGGGCCTGCTTGGGTGTCCCTTGGGCCTGTCTTGGGGCCCTCGTGAGGGCCTCTGGGGCCGTCTTGGGACTATATTGGAGCAGGACTGAACCTAACCGGTGTTTTTCGTTTTCGTTTTGTTTTCGTTTTCCCTCGCTCTTGTCTCGAATCCGCCTTTACCGAAAAACGAAGTCGAAACGAAAACGGCCCACGAAATCTCCAAAAACACAGTTTAGGTCCAGCCCTGTGTTGGAGGCCTCTGGTGCGTCTTCGGCTGTCAGAATCCCGACGCAAAAATTATGGAAACACCTCAAGACAATCTATGAGTTGTGCTTCTTCTGGTCCTCCTGGAGCCATTTCGGGCCGTACCGAGTGTTTTGGGGTCGTCTTGAGGCCATCTTGGAGGGCGTCTTGGGAATCTTTGGGCCATCTTGATCGTCTGGGAGGCCCTCTTGGAGATTTCTCGAGCGGGAAAGCCACGGAGAGCCACGTCTTGCGCAGACTTCGGGTGACCAGAGGGTTGGGCTGGGGACGCTATTGGGAACTTTTTGGGGAAAGGGCCAGACCTACTGAACAGCGACACGCCAAGCACCCGTTTTGCAAGCAAGAGGTGGCGGCGGACCTGGTGGCTTTCGGCCCGTCCAGCCATGGTGCATGGGTAGTACACGAGAGGCCTCTCGGGGGCTCTTGGGGGGCCTCTTGGGGGCTCTTGGAAGGCCTTTTGGATGGATCCTGGAGGCCTCTCGTATCCTAGTGGGGGCCTTTGGGGGGCATGCTGGCGATCTCGGGGGCCATCTTAGATGAAAGGGCTCAACATGTCAACTCGTGTTTCCCCTCTTGGGGCCGTCTTTAGGGTCTAGTGGGCCATCTTGGGGACCTCTGGGGCCGCCTTGGAGCGATCGGCGCCCTGCTGACCGAACAGCCGAAAGTGCGGATGAGAAGGAATACAACGTACACGCGCACACACACACACACACACACACACACACACACACACACACACACATTGAGTTGTCCTTCGGCGCGCCAGTAAATTCAGCCCACACACAATATCTACACATACACACATCTACTTGTATACATATATATATAGATGTGTGTGTGCATATACATGCAGGTATTTACAAACATGGACTCAATGCTTGTGGCCTCTTGAGCCAGCGCCCAGGGCCTCCCAGACGACCGAAGAGGCCGTCAAGAGGGCCCTAGGACGGGCCCTGGGACCATCTTAGGCAATGTTGGAAGTGTGGGTTCCAAGCCACGGTCCCGAGACCTTTGAAAAAAGCACGCGGGAGCGCGCAAACGAAAAAAGAGGCAACTGGTCTTGACACATTACGGAAAATTATGCATCCCAGAGCGAGTTCGAAGGGACTTGAGGACATTCCAACCAGTGCATACGGCACGGTGACGGATACGCAGATCATTGAATACGAAACACCAGATTACAGGAACGGGGGGTGTAAGTTTCAGCCCCTCTTCTATTTCTTGCACTTTCATTGCTGGAAAGGTGCATGTACGCCCATCGCGAGAACGACCTCTCTTCATTTCCGCCCCCTTGTCCGCACAGTTGCCCTGCTACTCGCGCGCCGTCTCCTCACCGTCAACAGGAGCCAGCTGGAAGTGGCGCCCGAGGGCAGCAGGCAGGCGAACGATGCTGGCGACCTCGTCTCCGTCCCGTCGGCGAGCTTGTCGGACCCGTGGGGGCCCAGCGCACGTTCGGCTTGCTTGGCCACGACCAGTGTAATCTGCCCAGCAGGGGATCGACGTACGGCCAGGGAAGCCCTTGGAGGACAGCGAAAAAGCAAAATTGCGGCACCCGGGTGGTACCTACCTTTGGTCCCGAATTTTCTCTTCGGGGTATTGGCAGATTTCCGATCGGCAAAGTCAAGTGCACACCAAAGGCAGTTAACGGCGCTTGCGGCATCAATAAAATATGAGTCATGAAAGTACAGGCGTTCCGAAGTGTTCGGCGAAGTACAGGTGTTGGAACGTTGTCGGCCTCACTCGCCCACCCCCCAAGCCACCGATTGATAGTAGTCGTCATAATAGTCGTAGTAGTCGTAATAGTAGTAGTAGCAGCAGTAGTAGCAGTAGCAGTAGTAGTAGTAGTGGTGGTGGTGGTAGTAGTAGTAGTAGTAGTAGCAGCAGTAGCAGCAGTAGTAGTAGTAGTAGTAGTCGTAGTAGTCGTAGTAGTAGTAGTAGTAGTAGTAGTAGTAGTAGTAGTAGTAGTAGTAGTAGTAGTAGTAGTAGTAATTGAGTAGTAGTAGTAGTAGTAGTAGTAGCAGTAGTAGTAGTAGTAGTAGTAGTAGCAGTAGTGGTAATAGTCGTAGTAGTAGCCGTAGTAGTACTAGTAGTCATAGTAGTAGTTGTTGCTGTTGATAGTGATGTTGTTGGTGTTGTTGGTGCTACTATTGTTGTTGCTGCTAGTTGTGGTTGTTATGGTTAGTATTATTGTTGTTTCTATTGTTCTTGTCGTAGTTGTCATAGTAGTAGTCGTCGTCGTCAGATTCGTAGTAGTAGTAGTAGTAGTAGTCGTAGCAGCAGCAGCAGGAGAAAGAGCATCACTAACAACAGCAGCAGCAGCAGTTGCATCGCTTGCTCTTGCGACTAAAGCTCAGCAGTAGTCGTAGAAGTTCGCTGTCGCGGCAGAGGCCGTGGCCATTGCAGTGGCAGCGGTAGTGGTACGTATTGTGATGTGGCTGTGGTTTTCGATATGATTGTCTATGAACCGTTATGGTTGGTCTTGCAGTGGCGGCTGTACTTGCAGTCGGAGTCTGATTTTGAGTCAACGCACCCGCAGTTTCCCAATCAGTGCTTGCATTGAAGGGGTCCGAGCGGAGATTGAAAAATTTGGCGAAATTGCCGGGCTGATTTCGGTGGGCGGCTGGTTCCAGGTTCAGGGCCAATTTCGGTGGGCGGCGGGTTTCTGGGGTTGCCGGGTTATTGGTCGATCTTCTTATCGATTGGTCTCACCATCGATCTCATTATTTACTTCTCTATCGATCACACCATCGATCTCACGATCTTACAAGCGATCTCATTTTAGATCGCACGAGCGCTTTCACGATCGATTTCATGATCGATCTCATTGGATCGACTTCACTCTCGGTCGCACGATCGATCTTACAATCGTCCTCACGATCTCACACTCGATCGCAATATCCATATCCACGTATTGAGGTTTTCTCTGCTGTAGTATTGTCTGAACTGCGCTGATCTAAGGGAGGCCTTGGGACAGCGAGCCCAGTGAATCGAATCACTACGAGCATGCTTTTAAGTCCTCGGGGCCATACCGCGCGTTATGCCCCCCCTTCCGCCCCCCCGTAATGTGACGTTCCTCCCCCCCGTAGTGCGCCTCCAGCACTGCCATTCTGATGCTCGCAGGCTACTGTGGCGCTTGCAGGCTACTTTAACGTACCCAGCCTAGCGTGGCGTTGACAGGCTCATTGCCCGTGCTCGCAGACATGGTGCCGCGCTTGCAGGCTATTGTCGCACACGCAGGGTCCTTCAGTTCTTGCGCACGCGCGCTGGGTTAACTCGGTACTCCGGTGCTGGCAAGGCCGCGAGAGTTGTGGCATTGGCATTGGTAGCAGATGTAGCCGCAACAGTCACAGCAATAAAAGTGATATCAGCAGGAGGAGGAGGAGAAGGAGTTGGAGGGGGGGGAGGGTGTCCTTGTATTCGTCGTCGTGGTTGTCTCGTGGTCGTGGTGATCGTTGTTGTGTTTGTCGGAAGTGTTGTCATCGTTTTCGTCGAAATCGCCATGGTCGTCGTGTTCATTTTGGTCCTAGCGGCAGTCGTCGTCGGCGTGTGGTCGTCGTTGCGACCGTCGTCGTGACAGTCGCAATCGTCGTAAGTAGTATTCGTAATCATGGCGATCGTCGTCATACTCGTCGTGATCGTCGTCAAGTTCGTCATCGTGGGAGTCGTCGTGTGGTCGTCGGGATCGGAGTCGTAGTAGTCATCCTGGTTGGCGTTGGTTTCCTGAGTGTGGTCGTCGCGATCGTCGTCACGCTCGTTGTAGTAGTTGTCGTCGTCGTCGTATTTATAGATCGTGGGTGGCTGCATTCTTAATGAATTCTGCACGCTTGCACATCCAGTTCATCAGGCAGAATGTGTTCTGAGGGTCGAGGAAAAATTGGCATTCACATGACTTCTCGGAGCTTCCTGGAAATTTCTGGGATGGGCGCCGACTTCCCCTGGCGGCGCCTGCGGGGCGCCGGCGCCGCCACTGGCGCACCCCGCGCGGCAGGGAAGGGGGTTCAGCGCAGATCCAAGAAATCCGCACTTCTCCTCCTCCTCCTCCTCCTCCTGCTCCTCCTCCTCCCCCTCCTCCTCCTCCTCCTCCTCCTCTTCCTCCTCCTCTTCCCTCCTCTTCCAACTCCTCGCCCTGCTCCTCCTCCTCCTCCTCCTCTTTCTCCTGCTCCTTCTTCACTTCGAATCAACGCAGGGGTTGTGGTGTCCGCAAGCGCTGCGGTGGACCCGCGCGTTGCGGTGTACGCAGGCGCTGCGGTGAGCGCGGCTGCTGTGGTGCACGCAGGGGCTGTGGTGCACGCAAGCACTGTGATGCGCGCGTGCAGCACGCATCGGAAGCAGGCAGTGCGGTACAGACTCGAGACTATGCTCGTGCTATGCTCCGGTTCTGGAGGCGGTGGAAGCAGAGTATTGTAGCACCTTTTACCATGCAACGTAGATGCAACACAGCGTCAGCAAACACCAGCACGAATCAATGTTCATGGTGCACGTACGCGCTGCGCAGTACATAAGCGATGTGGTGCACGTGGCTCCGGCGATGCGTACTGTGCTGCGCGCGGTGGTGCTTGCTGTGATGCGCACACTGTGGTGCTGGGGCCACACGGCGAGGGGGGGCGTTAAGTTGCGCCCCCCCCCCCCCGCGCCCTCCCATAACGCGCGTTGTGGCCGCGAATATACACGCAAGGTTATGTGGCGAAGCGAAAAGGTGAGAGACGAAAACGTAGCCAGTTCGCGTCAGGTTGAGTTAGGTTGAGCACCGCAAAAATCATTCCTGGCCTGGCTCAGATCTAGCATAACTGGAGCTATGATCGAATTGTTTCGGCGACAGGGCCAAGCAACGCCAAGTAAGTCACGCAAATGAAAGCGATGAGCAAACCCAGCATGGGCCCAGCTCAAACAATATGCCGTTAGATGGACAGGAGGAGGAAAACGAGAAGAAGGAAGGTGTATGAGTAACCAGCGGCATGACACATCGTGGGCGGATTTTTTTGAGTTGAGACAGGAGGAGAGGGGAAAAGATGAGGAGGGAGCGTAAGGAGAGGGCATCGCGGGCCAAGGCGCACAGTCGAAAACGCAGCATGAACGGGCGGCAGAGCTGGCACACCGACCCCAAAACGAGATGCATTGCGCAGCGAGAGCGCGTATTGCCCACGCGTGGTCACCAGGCGGCCACAAATAAGCAGCAACATTGGAATTGCCGATCCGCAGCCACCGAGCAATGATTTGCCCAAGCGGTAATTTTGCGGAGCGCCCCGCACAAGGGCGACGGAATGGCGATAGCCATGAGAACATGTCTGCCGTTGACCACCCAATTTGCGCACAGCAGCCTCGCACGAAGCAATGGGCGCGTGTACCGCAACAGGGATGGTAGCAAGATTTGGTGGCTCGAGCTCCACATACCAAGCCGCTAAGTGGAGACAGTTCCTGCAGAGACTATTCGAATGCCGCACAGGGCCAACACCGAGCAACGTATGCGCCACATGAGGAAGATTTTCGCAGCGTAGACGGACATTTTGAAATATATGGACATGCTCTACGCGTCGACCAGCCAGCAGGACCCCAAGATTCAACGCCTCGGTTCAGCAAATCGCGGGAAGTTTGCGGTCCCAATGTTCCGTTACCACCAACCCGGTGGCATTGTTCCAGAGAGGAGAAGAGAGAGAGAGAGAGAGAAGGAGAAACAAAGAAAGAGAGAACACGCAGAGACACACACACATGTATCTGTAGGTACACATGCTACTTCGCGCGCGCATCGACGCCAGGCTGTCGTCAATAGATCACGCAAGCAGAATCGTTGATCGTAGCTTCCTGCCGTACCTCCGTAGCCGCGGTCCTCTCCATGCGGCTCCGCGCGAGCTCGCTCTCAAGAGGGCTGATCACACCGCCGAGCTGCACGGGCGGCAGGGCCGCCAGCACGTCGAGGCCACCACTCCTGGTGCGCAGCCGCCTTCCAGTGTGGACTGGCATCGCTGCGCGAGATCCCGGCCTCCTCGCAGCTTGGCATCGCACGGACGTGTGCGCGTGTTTTTCTCGGCGAGGACCCTCGAAGAGCATCCTGGACCATCGGGCAGCAGAGAAGAGGCACGCACGAGACGAGCGACGGCGAGGTAGCCGTCATCAGGCGCTGCGTCGGCCCAGCGGGCGCTGCACGCCTTCGGCATCGCTGCCACCCACGCCGAACATAGGGGAACGAAAAATAGCACAAACATAAAAACTCAGAGGTCCGCGCGGATTTCTCGGATCGGCGGTGGACCCCCCTCCCTGGCGCGCGGAGCGCGCCAGGGGCGGCGCCGGAGGCGCCGCCAGGGGAGTCCAGCGCCGATCCGAGAAATCCGCGCGGACCTCTGAGTTTTTATGTTTATGCCATTCTTCGCTCCCGTAGAAAAGCCCGCTCGCCCACACCCGCCCATTGGCTCGTTCTCCGCCCTGCCTGCCTCGAGGTCGCCCCATCCGCGCCCCCGGCTGCGCCGGGGGGGTCGAGATGATGGGTTTGTTTTCCACCACCACCACCACCACCACCATAAACTGGAGGGGGGAAGGAGGAGAAGGAGGAGGAGGAGGAGAAGGAGGAGGAGGAGGAGGACGAGGAGGAGGACGAGGACGAGGAGGACGAGGAGGACGAGGAGGGGGAGGAGGAGGACGAGGAGGAGGAGGAGGAAGACGAGGAAGAGGAAGACGAGGAGGAGGGGGAGGACGAGGAGGAGGAGGAGGAGGAAGAGGACCCCCTCCCCCTCCAACTTATGGTGGTGGTGGTGGTGGCACACAGGCCCATCATCGAGAGGTCGCGCTCCCCGAGGCGGTTGCGCGATCCGTGTCGGCATCGAGAGGCCGGTCGTCTGCTCCGGCACTCGCACCCGGCCCGCCTCCACGCCGTGCTCGTGAGCTTTCCCGCGAGCCCAGCCTTGATGGGCCGTTGTCCACGGCCGCGGACCCGCCTTGATGGGCCTGTTTTCCACCACCACCACCACCACCACTATAATTAAAATTGGAGGGGGGGGAGGTGGTCGAGGTTGAGGAGGAGAAAGAAGAGGAGGACGAGGAGGAGGACACCCTCCCCCTCCTACTCATGGTGATGGTGGTGGAAAACAAGCCCACCACGCCTGCCAAGGAGGCCGAAGCCGCCTCAGTCGCAGCCCGCCGCAGTCGGCGCCAGTTCTGCTGCATGACCGCCCTCCTGGCCGCGCTCCTCAGCCTCCCATCTGTTGGCTATGACCGTGGCATCGCCGTTGGCTGGTGCCACCTCCTCCAGGACGCTGTCGGTGTGGGCCTTGGCGCGCGCCAGCGTGTGCCCCGCTGCCACATCGAGCTCAGCATGGGGATGGTGTGCGGCAAGGCCTTGGACTTCCACCGCGGGCTGCTCCACCGATGTCGTCGGTTTGCGCTCCTGGTGCTGCAGCTTCGCGTCCGTGCCCCCGCTGCTCGGTGAGACTCGGCCATGCGCAGAGGGGGTCAGAGGGAGGTGGGAAGGCTTCTTAGAAGCACCCCTGCTTCTAAGAAGGCGCGGGCCCTGTGTATGGATGTAAGGCCCGCGCCTTCTATGAAGCAGCCTCCTTCTAAGAAGCCTTCCCCCCTCCCCCTACCCCCCTCTGCGCGCCGCCAAGAGACGTAGGATTGCAATCCTTCGCTCAAGTGGCGTTCGAGAGGGTTTTTTTGCAATCCTTCGTTCGAGTGGGTTTTTTTGCAATCCTTCGTTCACGTAGGGTTTTTTTTGCAATCCTTCGTTCGAGTGGCCTTCCGCCGGAGCACCTTCGGCACGCGGTGTGCTGGGGTCGCGCGGGGGGGCCAAACCCAGGCGCGCAGGCGGCGAGGGCCTCCCACCCACACAGGCAGCACCCGAGGCCGAGCCTGGGCAGAGGTCGCCTCCTCCTCCTCCTCCTCCTCCTCCCCCTCCTCCTCCTGCTCCTCCTCCTCCTCCTCCTCCTCCTCCTCCTCCTCCTCCTCCTCCTCTTCCTCCTCATCGGATGGGCACCGACTGGGAGCCAATACGGATGCCAGGTGTGCGACGCTCGCGGGGTGCACTGCGCGTGCCAGGAGCGCACAGGGTGCGCCGGGTGTGCCAGTGCACGTGGCAGCACACATCGGGCAACATGTGGACACCCCGGCAGTCCGTGTCAAAGGCCTTGCAGGGTGGGGGCGGGGTGGTCAGCATGGTGCATGGCGTGTGCACCCTCAATGGTTCTGCGTTGCTTCTTGACAGGGATGGTGGAGCAGCGCACAGCACCCTCCGCCATCGCCGTCATGGTTGAGACCATTCAAAGTGTTCGCGGGGGTCCTGGTCAAGATCCAAATTTTGCCGCCACAGGCACTTTGTATTGTTTTTCGTCAGGGGCGGTAGGGTTGACGCTCATGGTTCCTGGTTGACGGCCAGTCGAGCGGGGCAGGGCGCGTTCATCAATGAGGAGCAGTGATCAACCCTTCCCCGAAAGGGAAGAAAGGGGGTCGGAAGAACGAACTTGCTGAAGCACCAACGCCCTGAAGGGCTGGCGGGGTTCAACACAATACGCCAAGGTGGAGCGCCAAAGTGTAAGCCAGCCCTAAGGCGAAATCAAAGCAATGGCACGAGCTGCCAGAGCTAACGATACCATTCAAGAGCATCGAATGCATGGGAATGGGCCGGCCTGCGCCACTGGACACGGGGCGGTCAAGCCAATCGATTCACCGAGACCGAATGCGAACCTCATAAGCAGGGCAGCGTGTACAAAACGAAATGTGACAACGGAAACATAGTGTGCGCACGAAGCAGATGAGTCGACGATGGACGTTGGCCAGTGTCCACCTGACTTGCGGCTACAATGACGGTCGGCGTTCCGCCATGGGGGGGGGCAATAAGCTTGGCATCGCTCGGACGTGTGCATTTTTCCTTCGGCGAGGACCATCGAGGAGCACCTTGATCATTCGGCAGAAAAACCACGCACGAAACCGACAAAAACACAGGGAATGGACGTCCGAGCGATGGCCAGTAGGTGGGGGGATGAAGACAGGTGCACCTCTTGTGCACCCCGGGGGCCCCGAAGGGGCCAACTGGGGCCCAGAAGGGGCACGAAAGGGGCACGCCTCTTCGCCCCCCCGCTCGCCGCCCCCCAGGTACGCAACGCCCGGGACGGGCGAAAGAGGAGCAGCAGCAGCAGCAGCAGCAGCAGCAGCAGCAGCAGCAGAGCTTGGAGCCTGACAGCCGGCGTGCAGGACGACTCGCCCGCCGAGGCCGCGCCCGCCGGGAGGGACAGCCTCCCGCCGCCGAACAGCAAGGAGGTACGCGACTTCCGCCAGGCAGTGCAGGAGGGCGGGGTTGGCTCCTCCTCCTCCTCCTCCTCGTTTTCCTCCTCCTCCTCCTCCGCCTCCCACCCCTCCTCCTCCTCCTCCTCCTCCTCCTCCTCCTCCTCCTCCTCCTCCTCCTCCTCCTCTCCTCCTCCTCCTCCTCCTCCTCCTCCTCCTCCTCCTCCTCCTCCTCCTTCTTCTCCTCCTTTCCTCCTTTCCTCCTTAGGCCACACTTCGACTTGAGGCACCATGTTTGATATACGCGATACTTCTCCGTCCGTCACTCGCAGTTGGGTGCGGCAAGTTCTCTCACACTTGGACTTGCCGGCCTGGTCTCTGCATGCCTTTCGGGCCATTGTTTGTATCGCGATGTTGCGCGGGGGGGAGGTAAGCAGGAACATCGTTTCTACATAGGGCGTGGTATTGAGCAGCGTTGCCCCTGTGATTATACTCGCTTTGGTATTTGACTATCTTGTTCGGTGTCTCCATGGGCTCCTTCCTGCTCATCAGAACGCTGATCGGTGCGCGTTGATGATGTTTGGATGGTCGTGCGAGACATGTTCCGACATCTTTCAAGTTCTGTGCGGCACCTGCTGCTGGCAGAAGCATTAACAGGTCTGCTGCTTGATGCTAGCAAGACGGTGATTACCACTCCGCGTGAGTATACCGTGGGCGAGATCCACGCTGGCTTTGAGAAGCACAACAATGGGTGGAAAGGTTTCCGACCGCGTTCTCCTGGAAGTATCTCAAGATTCTAGTTTAGTATCTGGAAAGAGTTGCTTTGGGATGGGCCGAGTTCGGACCTCGCGGCGAGGTCTCGGAAGATCCGCGGGCTCAGGCGTTACTTGGGGCGAAACATTCAGGCGGACAACGCGTTCGGGTTCCTTGTTCTATCATACGTTGCTCAGTTTCGCCCGTCGTCTAGGAAAATTCGCGGGGTCGAAAACAACGCCGTGCAACTCTTGATTGCGAGCCCCAGGAATGTCATGGCGTCTGCAATGCTCAGCCACTTCTCCGACTTTGGGAACCAGCAAGCTGTTCGGTCGCCATCATGATAGCTCAGAGGTCTGGAGCTTTCTATCGTGCCCAGTGTCTCTTAGACGAGCTAGACGAGGATACAGAGCTTCGTGCGACATGGAAACATGGCATGTATTGAAGGCGTCGATATTGTATCATCTGGTTCATGGCACAAGCTACGATTGCTATTCCAATGTGCCGACGGATGGATGGATGCCACGTTTCCAGGCTCAGTGTATGAAGGTTTACACGACGTCCGTGGACTCCTCCTCGCGTCTGAACATGTTCACGAAAAAGCTCCAGAGGTGGGGACCAGTGTCTTCCCAGGGTGCCCATCTCAGTTTACTTCGTGTTCGCAATGCAGCCCGACGTCTTCCTTAACCGGGTGCAACCGCTTATATGACGACAGTGTGCAATGAGTGCAGCATTTCTGCCAGATACGGGTACGAAACTAAGCCATGTCGTGCGTGTGGTCCTCTTGGGGATGATAAGTTACGTCACAGCTTATGTTGTCCCGTCGTTCATCAAGTCGTGGACTCCCAATTGAGGTGTCTCCCCGATCCTGGCCAGGTCTGTCTTTCTGGCACTGTTCGGTTTCCCCGTCTGTTTCTCTCCCGTCTGCCTCGTCCCTCCTTGACCTCTCTCTGGTCGCGCCTTGCTTCTTCTGACCGCTCTCAAATGATCAATAACCTCGCGCCTCAGAGTGAGAGATGTGTCGCCATCTGCCGCATTCACCTCCCTCGTCAAAGCGAGGGCCAAGGTTGCTGGAAGTAGGTCCAGGGTTGTTCGCCTCCTAATTCAAGACACCGACCCCTTCTGTGGCGCCTGCTGCGCCTGACGCAAGCGCGCCCTCGCCGCCTGCCGCCGCTGCTGATGTGGGATGGACTCTGGGGGTCGTGTCGCTCCTCCCTTCTTCCTCCTCCTCCTCCTCCTCCTCATCATCATCAGCATCAGCATCCTTCTCCTCCCTCCTCCTCCTCCTCCTCCTCCTCCTCCTCTTCCTCCTCCCTTCCTCCTCCATCCCTTTCCTCCTCCATTCCTTCTTCTTCTTCTTCTTCTTCTTCTTCTTCTTCCTCCTCCTCCGTCTCCTCCTTCTCCTCCCCCCTCTCCTCCGTGCACTCGTAAAAAAGAGGTGGTGCGCTGGCTCACACCCCCTCGGACTCCAGTGGTATTCAACAGGGGGGTCAAATATGTGCGTCGGTGTTCATATGAGCGTGCGCTGGATAAGCGGTCGTCTTGGATCGTGTTTTGGTCAGAGAGCGGCATACGGCCGCAGACAGCGCGAGCCAGGAGTCCACGTAGTTGATGTTCGCCAGGACACTCCAGGACTCAGAGACTCCCCCAGCTGGTGCCACCACCACCTCCCTTCCTCCTCGCAGTCGTCCTCCTACTCCTTTCCTTCCTCGTCCTCACACCTTATGACACCTTCTTCCTCCGCATCCTCAATTCCATCGTTGCATACTCCTCCATAGTCTAAATGCTTCGCGTTTCCCCGCAAGCTTTGTGGACTGGTCGCGTGTCGAACCCAGATGTGCCTGGCAGAGTGCCACGTGTGCCGCTCTGGTCTTTTGAATTCGCATGATGCGAGATTTGACCCCACCTGACTGCGGAGATCTTGGTTTGCAGAGTCGGCCATGTGAAGAACGTATGGTGATTCGGGTGGCTCCCTTCTCGCATCAGTTCCCAATATTATCATGCCCGTTATGATCTTCATTGCTTGTCGGCATTAACTTCCCCGTCATGGCAGCATGCATACGTCTTCCTCAGCCTCCGCACTTCCCCGCGCGTGCTCATCTCGGCAGCAGCACACCATGGGGGAAAGCAGAGGGGCCGACCTTCTCAGAAGGCTCGGAGGCCCCCGGCCTTCTGAGAGGTTTCCCAAGCCTTGTCCGAAAACACGGGCAGCTTCTCGGAAGCCCCGAGGCCCCGAAGGCTCCCGAGAAGCCCCGCCACCTTCCGAGAGGGCATTGCCTTTACCACGGCCGCGCCCCAGCCTCGCCTCGTCGCGCGGCAGTGTGCGCGTATAGATGTTGTCACCGGGCGCGGTCCACTACTCGCAAAGTGCCTACTCGCAGACGTCCGAAAAAAACACGTTCGCCTCGACTCAATTTCTCGTATTTCCTCCCCGGCTGATCCGGGCGATTTGCGAGCAGTGACTTTTTGCTAGTAGTGGAACGCGCCTGCCTAGATTGAGAGAGAGAGAGAGACAGACAGACAGACAGACAGACAGACAGACAGACAGACAGAGACAAAAAAAAAGAGAGAGAGAGAGACAAAAAAGAGAGACAGAGAGACAAAAAAAAAGAGAGAGACAAAAAAGAAGAGAGAGACAGACAGACAGAGACAGAGAGCGATGCCACGGCCTCGCCCGCCCAGCCTGTCGATAGGCCCGGAGGAAGCTCCGCCGTCGGTGGCTCGCTCGCTCGCTCGCGCTCCCCCCTCGCGCTCCCCCCCCCTCGCTCGCCCCTCGCGCTCCCCCCCTCGCGCTCCCCCCCTGCGGCGCGCCGCCGCTCGCGCTCCCCCCTCGCGCTCCCCCCCTCGCGCTCCCCCCCCCTCGCGCTCCCCCCCTCGCGCTCCCCCCCCTCGCGCTCCCCCCTCGCGCTCCCCCCCCCTCGCTCCCCCCCTGCTCCACAATTACACAATATGAAAATACTCTCCCACTTCCCCTGATGGCGTCCCGAAGATATCCGACACCCCCCCGCGTATTCTTTCTTTTACACACAGGATTCCCGGGAAACGGGTTTTCGCTTGTGTTTTTTGTTCAAAATGCTGCTCTCGCTGAGGCGCCGGCTTCATTTCTGCTCCCGAATCGTTCCGAATCGTGCTCCCGCTGCAGCGTGGGCCTCATTTTCGGATCGGTGTTTGGCCTCCGTCGTTCAGGATGGCGTTCTCGCCCCAGCGCGGGCCTCTTTCTCGCGCGCCCATCCGCCCCGCGCCGCACCACCACCACCACCACCACAACCACCACCAGCACCACCACCACCACCACCACCAGCACCACCATCACCACCACCACCACCACCACCACCACCACCACCACCACCACCACACACCACAACCACACACGCACGCACGCACGCACGCACGCACGCACGCGCACCACCACCCACTACGCACGCGCGCGCGGAGCCACAAGTCCGCTACGACACGCGTCCGCGGATAGAGAAAATCAGCGCCATGGTAAGGGATGGGAGGGAGGGGTAGGACGTCAGATATGACGCGAGCGCACCTAGCTTGCCCCCCCCCCTCGCTCCTCCCCCTCGCTCCCCCCTCGCGTCCCCCCCTGCGGCGCGCCGCCGCTGGCGGTGCCCGCAGTTCGCGGCGGGGGGCAGACCTGCGAGCCGCCTGGGCGGCGGGCGCGCTCCTCTGCCGCGGCCGGGTCCCGCCTCTGCCGCTCCGGCCTCCTCGGGGGGGGGGCTCCTCGGGCCACCTGTGGGGGGGGGTAAACGACACGAAGATCGGGACAAAATCGGATCGGGATAACTCGAAATCTCTGAGAATCGGCGGGTTTGGAGGATGTATTGGGCGCCGCGGCCGCTCCAGAGCGTTCCGGAACGCTCTGAGAGCGCTCCGGAACGCTCTGGAGCGATTTATCCCGATCCTAGCCAAGTTTTTAGGGGGGGGCCTTCTTGGGTTAAGTCGGGCCCGTCCCTCTACAGGAGGAACGTTCAAGAAGAGTCCAAAAATAGTCTGGGGACTGTGTTTTCCGTATCTTTTCAATCATTTTTGAATATTTTTTGAGTCTGTTCTATTTTTCGTCAAAAAGCCCCCCGTATGGGGGACACGACCGACTTAATTCTTGGGGCCTCGGGGGGGCCTCTGGGGCGCTCTGGGGCCTTTCGGGGGGTGGGCCTCTTGGGGACAAGAGGCAGATGGGGCCCAGAAGCGCCGGCCCTTGGGGCAAGGGGGGGAGGCACTTCCAAGCAGGGCCCCCCCCTCGCAAACATATACAGCGGCGCTTGCACATCGGCGTCTTCGGGAGACGACGCTCTGAAGGCAAACGATCCGCCGAA